TTGGCTTATGTTTTTCCTTTATAGTTTCATCGCAAAATAAAATTATTTACATTGTAAGGAACTTATATTTATTTGTAAAGAGGTTTCTCTAAAAAGATGTTGGCAAAAATGCTAGATTTGTGTATTACCTTTTGGAACAAAAACTAGATTTTTTTCATTAAAATTTAGATTTATATATCTTTGTTTTTGCAGTGCCTCGGGCATTTTCCAAAGTAATACTATTATTATCAAAATACTAAGAAATAATAAAACACATTAAGCCGACAAACACACATCCAAGTTCTACTTATAAGCAAAGTCCTGGACCTAGAAATATTTTATGCATAGTTATGTACCAAGATCAAAATTTTTTTTTTCCAAATATTTCATTTTCTATTGACGAAGTTACTTTATTGATACATATTGGTTATTGGATAATTAGTTTCTGTCCGTACAACCATATTTTTTCCAGTCTCCTCTCTCACACTTAACATTTCTCTTTTTATAAGAGTTTTTTTTGGCTCTTCATCTTAGTTAGTAGGATTGTGATTAGTATTTCCTCTTTTTAGTTTTTAAGTGAAAGCTTTGATTCATAAATTTAACAAGGGCGTCAGATATTGGTTTTCTTGCTTGAATAAATACAATTAGAAAATTCTTTATACCTTAACATATTATTATAGTAATGACGTCTTCTCTTCTTCTTAAAATTACATAAAACTAAAAAAAAAAAACTTTAAAAAAGAATTTTTGGCCAAAAGTTAAATAACTAATATCATTACGTACACATTCTTATCTAAGCAAAGACCAAGATCCATGCTTGCATGATTTTGGTAATACTTTTGTTAAAGAGACTACTGACCAGGTAACAAGCAGATTATGTCACATATATATAGTTTTAGTGTTGGAACCAAATTGGAATTCCCTTGAATAATACCATTCAACTCAGCAACAATATGACAACTACATTTGATTTCAAATAAAATTTCAAGTCAATACTGCATAGTTGAAAGATCGTGTACTTAATGATACTTCAAACAGAAGATAATTTAAACCACTATAACAATTCAGACCACTATAATAATTCAAAAAAGTAATAATTCAGCACAGTATGGAAGACGGATATAAAACAAAACAAAAAGGAAGCATAAAATTTCAACCATGACAATCTTATATAGCAAATTTATCTAACATGTATTGTTAATTAGATGCAAATTAACAAAATCTTTAAACTCACAATGATAACCACTCCATACACAAAGCAAGAAACATCCCCCCGCAAATTCTGGTGTAGTCACAAATATTGATTGTGTCATGTTTCTTTTTAATGCAAATATTTAGCTTTCGCCTATTTGAAAAAGTAAGTTTAAAAGCTGATCAACAAAAAAAAATTTAAACATCTTCAATTATTTGCTATATTTTTTTTCTAAAAACACAAAATAATTTTAAAATCATTAAAATATATATTTCTGCATAAAATCCGGCGCGCTGACAAACCATTAGTGAGTAATAAAATAAAGAGTAGGCTTTTTCTACATTTAACCTCCTTTTTCTTTTTAAATGCCACACTAACTAAGAAAGGACACTGACCATATTGAAATTATAAGTGCATGTGTGTGTGAACGCATTGATTCGCTCTATAAGCGAATAAAGATGCTTTATGTATGTCAGTTGCATCAGGATAACTAATACTTAACCATTTAGCTTTTCTATTAAAATTGTAAGGTTACCTATAAGAATCTAAATTAAGTACTTACTATGCTTTGAATGAGATATTTTAGCGGCGGACCTGCTCACTTGGGTCGTGCTCGTTTTTCTTGGGGACTGGGATTCACGCCTTGATTTTAGGTGTCACATGACTAGACGGCGATACATGTAATGAAGTAAAGCTCTTAAAAGAATAAACATATGGTACAAAAAGAATGTACTATTATAAACCAGAAGCATACTATTATAACTTGATACTTCCTACGATCACCCAAAGGAGATACAAAATAAAACCATTGTTTTACATATCTGATCTTAATCAGCTTGAAGGTTACAAATCATATGATGACAATGAGATCCAGCTAATGAAGAACGCTTGAAATCAGACACTATTCTTTTATTGTTTCTTTAAAAAATGACATTTACACACAACCAAAATACCTATAGAATGAGCGGAGGAAAATCTCATATAAGGGCAAGCTCTGAGATTGAAGTGGTCGCAAACCCACATTTTTAGTAGTTAATAATTTAAAGCAAAAAAATTAAGTAACAAAATAATTAAACTCACCACTTAAGTACCCACTTTCAAACAACTGAGAAAAAAAGCGGCAGTTAATAATTTCTAGAATTATTTGGTCCTACGAAAATCTATATCGGTGTATATGCCCAAAAGTAATAATTTATTTCGTCACATATTATGACAATTAGTAAAATGTATCGTAGGATGTAAGGATTGAAGATTTGAAAATCTCTCAGTCACAAATTTTCATATAAATGGACACACGAATCTTACTTGCTTTAAATGATACGACCGTTTCGACTAGGCTTTGCTACTGAGTAATAATAATGTTATCACTGTGTATCTCAATTTTCAAGTGGCTTCAGATTCAATTATGTGTTTGTTGATCTCTAACAAAAGCCCATATGCTTCTATAAGTTCACACATAAAGAAACAAGTCTGGTCAAACGCATTTCATACTGCTGCCATATGACTTCATGCTAAGCACTAGCTGGTTAAAATAAGACAGCCCGGTGGCATATGAAATTAGAGAACTGCTTAGAAACTATCATAATGATTACAAAGCAAATCATAACCTATTAATACCATTTCGAAAACTGAACTGTGAAAACAGTGATTAAAGGGATGATAAAAAAAAGCAACCAAGAAAATAGTGATTAAGTAATCTCTTCTAAGTAAAAACAAATGTTAAATATATAAAATATACAAACAATCAACGCCAAGTACGTACATTAGTTGCAAAAGAGAAACGAACAATATTGTTTGTATATCACAATCGTAAAGCACATCAACATGCCAACGAACGAAACCATTTTTCTTGGAATATTTCAAATTCCACAAATCTCATGACCTATATTAAACTTACACTGTTGATGAAAATTACTATTTTTTTCCATCAGTATTTGTTACACTTTAATTGGATAGATACACGGTGATTATCTTCTTTTTGAGTTTCTTATTCATCATGTTTTACATTTTATTTTTAACTCATTAATGTCTGACTTCAAAATCTCATATGCTTGTTCCATGCTTTCTAGTGGTTGTCAGTGTTCTATTCATTACGTATGTTTTTTACAACTACAGCCCTAACAAACGTCAAATATCTCTTCTGTTAAGAGAGTTTATGACTTTCGAATTCACATAATTAACTAAAAATGATAAGTATAACCTAATATGTATAAAATGATAGTTGGAAACTTTGAATGAATTTGATCTCTTGATATAGTTTAGTCGCTCATTTCTTTCCTAACGCTCATACGGAACTCCAGTTGAGTGGAGATCAAGGCCTTGGATATGTTTTGAGGCAGAATTACTTATTATCAGTAACCGGTTTTAAAATTAGACA